ATGAAAACGCAGGGACCATCTCAGGGAGAATCGGTGAAGAACAGATCCACTATAGACAGAAGATGTGTCCAGAAGCACATAATGCTTCTGTTTGCAGTAATGGCCCTACACTGTAAAAAGTGCAGCCGACCAGACTTTGATGAAAATGTTTAATTACAAATTTTAATTACTACATTTTTTCTCTCTATTTGAATATATTTAAACTTGTACATGTTTGATTGGTGTGTTTATATCAGTGTTGCCAACTCCTCAGTAAGGAAAGTAGCTATTGGCTGTCCCAAAAGTCGCTAGAAGTCGCTAAATGACGTCATCGCCTAATTTGCATAATTTGCCATTTGCAAATAACTGTAACGGACGCTGTAGGAGAGAGGAATAACGTCGTGGGAGAGACAAAAGTGAGTAAAAACACCCTAAATATGTTTAGAACTACAAATGTACAAAAATAATTTCAACATTAACAACATTTAATGATTTTAATGCTTTGTCTAGATCCACATTACACACATCAGTTTTGTCCTGTATTGTTAAATGTTATAACAGCAAATGTAATCAAAAGATTGTTATGTAGGGTGAAATTTCTAGCTCTACAACCAACCCTCCTCCTTTATCCGGGCTTGGGACCGGCAAAGTGACCCAAAAGACACACTCTGGCAGAGTTACTTAGGTTTATTTTTGTAAGTTTTTTTTTTTTTTTCATAGTTTGGCATAACAAATGATTTAATGTGACCCACTACTGAGAGAAAACAGAGTCACGGACAGAGCTGCCGCGGATGGAGTGGGGGGTAGTGGGGGGTGGCGGTGGTAGGAGTGGCCGGGGAGCTTTGCATGTGTGGTGGTGGTGGAGCTGAAGTTCAGTCTGCAGCAGCCTGAAAACTCCCTGTGCTTTTGAGTCTCCTCTCTCTCTCTCTGCTCCGCCCATAGACTGTAGCTGGGACTGCTGCGCAAGGCTACTGTGAGACTGGCCGCCTGTAGTGCTTTGGGACGGGGGAGGGGCTCACGTTGAGGACAGCAGAACAATACGTAATTCACGAGTCTCCAAAACACCAGATAAGTCGCCAAAACACCAGATAAGTCGCCAATAACACCAGAAAAAGTCGCTAGATTTGTCGCTAGTCGCTTTTTTGAAAAAAAGTCGCTATAGGGGTCTGAAAAGTCGCTAAATCTAGCGACAAAGTCGCTAAGTTGGCAACACTGGTTTATATTACCGGTATCTTACCTTTGTTGTGTTATCGGTGTTAACAGATCCTTCTGGTTGAAATGCATCCATTAGTAAAAATTCCTTGAACCTCCTGGGTATGCACTGACTCCATTCACGAGATAACAAACAATGTCTATATCTCTTGTTGGTGAAACTAGTGCTGGGTCAGTGGACCATGCTTTGGCAGCAAACTTATATGGAACCAACATTAAACTGCTAATAGAGGTAAGCTCACCGGTCTTTGGCAAAAGGGCTGAAGTTGACAGTAAACAAAAAGGCAGATGGAACTTAACTATATTTTTTTCATTTCTGATTAAAGCAACACTTTTTACAGTGTATATACATAATATTCAAATGAGGTCTCACCTGCAGAGGGTCAGTGAGGGGCTGGTGCTATGAGACTTGGGTGGCATCTCTGACTGCCACCCCCCTGACCCAGAAATGGATTAAAGGGTAGAAAATGGATGGATGGATGGTCACTTAAGAATTCTAAGGTGGTGTTTACACGGATACGCTGCGACAGTTGGGTATCGGTTTGGCCTCCTGTTTACATGGAGACAGTGTTTCAGGGGGTTGAAAACGGAAGCGTTGAGAAACAGCCTCCAGAGAGGAACAGAACAGATACGCTTTGCGGCGGGGGGGCTGTTTCACGGCGGAGTGAAGAAAAATGTAAATTCTCTGCCTGCTATGACCTCATCACTTCCCCGCACGTGCATTTAGACATGCGCTGTAGCCGAGAACAAACGTAAACAACAATGGTGGCACACGGGAGAATTCTACTCCTTTGTTCATCCAAACAAAACCACGCAAAGCTCTAGTTTCAGTTTCCATTTTCGCAGCTACTGTTAAATGTGCGTCTTTGCAGTGGCCCCGAGGAGGATGTTGTCGAGGAAGTGATTATACTGCTGGGGGTTGCGTGTGTCGTGTTGTAAAGTTCAACGGCCCACCACTGGCCGGGTGCTAGAATACATTGTTTTCCATCTTCTCCCAAACGCTGTGCAGAAGCCTGCTTGTTTTGCTAATTGCTTTGCAGCGTCTCTGCAGGATCTCTATCTAAATTAGGCCTAAATTTACATACATGTATTAACTCCCAGCAGATCATCTCTCTCAAGGTGTCGAATGGTACATCATGTGCCTGCTTAACTTGCACCTAATCCTTTTAGAGTCAACCAAAGAACTTCTTGGGCTGTAGTCACATTCACAACCTAAAGCCCAGTTAAAGATCACAATTAGATCCGGGCTTTAGGAGCCGCGTGATCACGGCAACTGGTTTTTTTAAACTTACTGACTTTATGTCCGCCATCTTGGATTGCTTTCGCTGCCGCGTGACACACGCTTGAGAAGGCGGCGCAAACCCGACATAACACCGGCGATCCTGATTGGCCAATTATTTTTTGATCTCCTGAAGGAGTTTGCTATGCGCTCGGTCCCACACCCATGTGGGTCAGCTACACGCCTCTGGTGGAGTATACGCACCTGCGGCTGTTGATGAATGCTGCGACTGAAAAACAAAAGTATTTATAAAAGTCACGCCTATGAATATAAAGCAACCGCCTGTTTCACGCCCCATTTCTACAACAATTGAGAGGAAACAGCCAAGAAAAAAAACTTCACGGAGCAGGAGATTGAGACCATTATGAACGAAGTGGAAAAAACTACTATTTGGAAGCCATCAAGGGGGCTCAAAAAATAAATTATGGAAAGAGATGACAACATCTGTAAACAGTGTGGGGCCTGTAACACGCACTCCTGAGGAGGTGAGTTTATTCATGTTTGTTTTAAAAGAAATACACGCTATATTATGTCAAACAGTTCACAGATATATTGGGCCAATAGTTAGAATGTATTAATTTATGCCTACAGGTGAAAAATAATGGAGCAACCTTAAAATGGCAACAAAAAGGCATTTAGCAGCCCATAAAAGAAGTGCTCAGACCAAAGCATCCAAAAGAAATTATTAAGAAATTAAATGATCTTCAAATTATTTATGTGATTATTATTTTAAAATGGTTGAATGAGAGCCCGTCTGAGCTGTACAGGCCGAAGGCGGTGCTGGCCATGGTCTCTCATACATACAGTACAACAAAATGGTCTCTCATACATACAGTACAACAAAATGGTCTCTCAGAAATAGGCAGCTCCACCAGTGCATCTAATGGCACAACGTGGTCCTGTGCCTGTTGTGGAGATCCGAGCCAGGACCCATGTGGCACACTTGTACCGGGAGATACAAGAGCGAACCCCCTGCATGTCCCAGAGCCATCTTCATCTGCACCAATTGTCGATGTGCACTGATTGTAGGTGCTACACATACAACAATCCATCTTTGGGAGAATTTTGAGATCTTGCACATTATCAAATACCACAAACTATCGGCATTGCCCAAACACAACTTCGTAAAATTGCATATTTGTCATGTGAGAGGTGTGACTATAATTTTTCCAGAGTGGGAATATGTCTATTGTTGTCCAAATCTTGAATTCTATGCGTGTTGAGATGAAGGCGAGGGTATAACATTTACACCACCCTCAGACTCGGCGTATACCGTACGCTCACTCCAGACTGATAAATCCGTACGCCTCATTTACTCCCTGATTTGGCCGTACGCAAGTTTCATAAATGAGGGCCATTGGCTCTGATTGCAAAGAATGTGATCCATGCTCGAGCTGTTGGACACAGTAGTCTGGTGTAAACAGGAAGAGAGATGGAAACTTAACTCGAATCCTGAGTTAAATTAATCTGTCAGAGAAATTAACAGTCTCTCTGTTTTCATATTTTTACCCCAACTATTGAGAGCAGTAATTGTGTTTACCCTTCAGAACTGGACCCTTCCAGCTTTACTTGAAGGTCGGAATTTATTAGTTCAATCTTCTAACTTTTCCGAATGTTTGTGCCCAAGATAGAAAATACAACATAGCTGCATTTGGAGAAAGCATTCAAATAGGGATGGTTGTTGTTCTCTACAGTTCACGTCTCGTTCGACATTTGAGTCTCATTACGTCATTTGTGCCATTTAATCTTCCTTTTATTCTGCGTCTGCTGACATTATGAAACATGTGCCCGTCCATTCTGGTTCCGGAAGTAAAATAAACATTGAAAGGGTTTGAAGAGTTTGAAGGCACTACAATGGGTTGTAGGCACTATTCACATTGTTTTCAGCTGATACTACTTTAAGTTTAAAAATCTTTAATTCCAGAACCTGTAGCACTTTGCAGCGCCATTCATGAAGCTCATATTTAATGAGCTTCATGAATGGAGCTCATTAAATGGAGAATGAATAATATTACTTGTTTCGGTTATTTCAAAGTTATGTGTTACACAACAATATTTCTGTCTCTGAATTCTAAAGCATTACACTACTACTGCATCACCTTTGAGTTCCTTTCATCATATATATATATATATGTATGGTGCTGCGAGGGCTGTGATATACTGGTGGATAATTTTAAATACTAGTTTGTTGCCAACAACGCCACCCCGAAGGGAAAATAAAAAATAAAGGATTACGGCTAACACAGGTAAGTAACTGAGGGACAGAGACAAAATTAGAAAAAGGTTTACAATATTTATTTGATATCAACATTCACTTCAGTTCATAATTAAAATAGTTTTTAAAATGCAGTGCACAGTACACAAAACAAACACAATGACCCCAGATTAACTTTAAAGTGCATTGGTGCTTACATGTGCTTTTGTGCAAACTCACAGCAGCTAGTTCAAAAGTTACAGGCACCTCCTTTAACTGATGGCCACTAAATGGACCACACTGTATGGACACCAGGAAAACATGAGCCAAGGCAACTCAGGAGGAGAGGAAAGGAGAGGCTCGAGAAGACTGGACCTAAAAGAAGTGACAATTTAGAATTTACAGTACAGTTAAAACCCCACGCAGCAGCTCAGGAGCCGGGAAAATACGCACCATGAATCCTCTGCGTGAAGCGCTCCCCTAGAGACCCAGCGCAGGAGGCGCGTAGAACCGGGTGCCCCACCTTATAAAGAGCGCTTAGTTAGCACTAAGTTTGGAAAGTAATGTTAATGGGCGGATACGCGGCACACACCAGCTTACCGTAATGGTATGTGACTGCACGCACACCAAACATGCGGGAGGTGTCCTCAGTTGACCCTGCACCGCAACTGGGCCGCAAGACGCCACGCACAGAGCGCTGCGGGGGGCGTAAAGTATTTTATATAAAGCAGGATGGATAAGGAGACAATCGAAGGGGAATGGCACTGTACTTACTAGTTGTGAGCTCAATATGAAGCGCAAATGCCAGCTTTAGGGCCAGCAACTGTGTTTGTCCAAGCTGTGGAGCCAGACTCCACGCTGTGCAGCTCACTGCTCCTGGGACAGCGGTGACGTCAGAGGCGGGCAAAGAGATGGTGCAGGTGATCCATCCTCCTTTTAAAGGGAGGAGACTGCACGCAATAGGCTGCCACCGGGCACGCAGGGCCTACTACTACATATGTATATATTATATGTATATGTATATACAGCGGATCCCTGGAACAACCTCAGACATCTCGGTCCAGAAATGTGCCGTGCAGGAACAACAAAGATACTGCGCAGAACCCTCAGGCTCCCTGGCCTCTGGTAGAGGACCCGAGCTTAGAGAGGGATAACCGCCCGCGGAGGGCCAAAGGTGAGTGGAGGACAATTGTATGTATAAATGTAGCTTATTATGCTATTGTGGATTAAGGTTGATAGAGCTTTGTGTTTTGCACATAAAGTGCACTTAACTGCTTAACTGTTATGTTCCACATCTTTGTCTCTATCAAACTCTAAATAATGGGAGTATGTCCATTTTGGAGATGTACTGTTGTCTGACGTAGTGCCTAGCTGCTTCTTTTCCAGCTTCAGCCATGTTTTACCAGAAAGGAAAACCTTTTTGTAAGTGGCTGGAATTGGCACAGATTTAAATTATCTTAAAATTAAAGATAATTTAATTTTGGGTTTAAATGCTATGTAACTCACATAACTGACCTTTGTTCTCAGTTTGTTTTTAATACCTTACATTACCGTGTTGCAGCAAAAAGGAATACATTACAGTAATTACATTACTTTTGTACCATGTTACTCCCAACACTGAGTATTAGCTGCGTACCAACACCATGCACAGACATCTTTCTGATAAACTGATTTGAAAATGGCATAATATTATGGGCCTTTGATTTAATCAATAAACAGATAAATTAAATGATTCCAGTGAAGTTATTTCAAAATCAACAGGGATGGAATGTGATATTCTGCATTATATAAGTGCTTGGCGCATGCTCAGAAGTAAGCGGAAGAGCAGCTACAGTAGGTTACAGGCGAATGTCGACTTTGATGCACGTGCTCCATGTTGGAGGCACTATCAGTAACAAACAGGCTCTGAATCACACACTTCATGTGTAGGGCATTGCATAGAAGCAGTCAATGATGGGGGAATTATTTTTAGATTTTATGTGGGTTGCAGATGCGGTTCTACACAAGCAGGTCTCAGAAAATGGAGCAACATGTTCACACCTCTTATGGTTATCCAATGTGTGCATTTGTATGAAATAACAAACTGGTAAAAGCATATACTCATGTTATTATAATTATAGTATGCAACTATAAGTATTATACAGTATACATGTATATATATATTTTTTTACATATAGTGAACATAATCCTATGAACAGAATTGCCTGACAGACAGAATGTTGCTGCTGAATAGGATCAGAATGAAACAGATACAAGACAAGAGATAAGTTAGCACAACTCCAAAACTCAAACAAGAAATACTTTTATTCAAGATTTATAATGTACTTTCTGTTCTTGTACCCTCATTTCAGATTGTATATGATTCTTCACCTAATTTAACCAAAACAAAGGGAGAAGGAAAAGGGCTGATTGGTGAAGCTGCAGTGAAGTTAAACATGAAGCTACTCTTTTGTTTTATATCGATTCTATATTTGACGAGTGGTCCATTGGTTCTGTCAGCATATAGCATATCGTTATTATTTCATAGTAATGTTTTGACAGACAGCCAACCTGGGTTGTTTGTGTTTGAATTAACATTCATAATTGACAATGGGTTTTCTGTCACAGTTGCCATTTTTAATTAGTGAGTCATGTGGCTTGTGGATGCTTCCAAAACACCATAAAAATTAGGCCACTCGATTGGCGTCCTCTGTTGTCATAAGCAGAGCTGGATTGCTCGTTCCTCATATTTCCAAATACTGGGGGCTGCCCCTGCAGGTTCTCCGGAGTCAGGGACTGGAGACTCTTATTATCTTTCAGAACAAAAGGCAAAAAACCGGAGAACAAGACACTCCCCTCCTCCTGTTTTCAACTTTATCCTTGCATTCACAAGCCTCCCCCCGCTTCACACACACAGGCCTGCCATATGACACCCATTTGAGGAGGGCTGTTTGGAGCTGTCTTTGCAAAAAAAAAACAAAAAAAAAACAACACATGCAGATTGTGCAATGCATAAGCTAAGAAAGCAATTTAGAATCGAATGTATAATTGGTATTTTTTTGGTATTGGGCATAGAAACTGTCAAACCTCAGCCTAACCCAGCAAACGTCAGCAAAAGAGTCATATTTGGTTTTTGGATACACATTTTTTTCTCGTTTGAAATTGTCTTATCATCATCATCATTTTCATAATACAGACCGACTGGGAAAGTTGGGCCTCATTTTTTCTTTCTTGCTAAACCTAAAACATATACAGTAAATGAATGGGTGAAACGTGTTGAGTGGAATAGCGCATCAACCGACCGAATATTTAAAAAGTGGTTGTTTACATTAAAATGGTTTCTACTCCAGCATTTGAGTAACAACTTTTATTTGTCTGTTGTTTTTGACTAAATCCAAACAACAAAATTAGATAAGAGAACCGTTATTTATACAGTGGGGAAAATGTGTGCCCTAATTAGTCCTACACAAGTTAAATCTACAGCATCAGACTAAATCCAATGAAAGACAGGAAAACAGACAGACCCTATTACCAAATGCATTGGTTTGCGAAGTGGTTTGTCAGGGAAGTGCACATTCTGTAATTTAGCCTGTTTGTAGAGCGACTTGGACCAAAGATCACAGGAAAAACAGGGGGTAGATGTGTGTGTGAGTGTGTGTGGGTGTGTAGATGTGTGTGTGGGTGTGTAGATGTGTGTGTGAGTGTGTGTGAGTGTGTGTCTATGAGGAGGCATGCAGAGTTGGACTGTATAGGGCACTGGCAGATGGCGGCACCACTGATAAATGGGCAACAAGACAGGACTTCACTCTGAGATGTACACACAGGCACACACGGCTCCAGTCTGCCCGCGGTGAGGGACCAGGGCCACTGACAGGCACACACGGCTCCGCGGTGAGGGACCAGGGTCACTGACAGGGGATGGATCATCTAGTTACACATATTGATGCAGAACAAATAGATCTAAAATTATACAGAAAATGCAGCAGTTAAATTTTACTGACAGCCAGGGAATGAGTCCCCCATCCGGCAATGGATAAAGTGAAGAAAAAAAATAAAGGCCCTGCTGTAGCACTCCTTCCTACACTGAGGGTGTCTCAGTCTTCCACTGAAGGAGCTCCTCAGCTCCTCTACAGAGTCCAGGGGCCTCCTGTCCCTCACCTCCTCCATAGAGTCCAGGGGCCTCCTGTCCCTCACCTCCTCCACAAAGTCCAGGGGCCTCCTGTCCCTCACCTCCTCCATAGAGTCCAGGGGCCTCCTGTCCCTCACCTCCTCCATAGAGTCCAGGGGCCTCCTGTCCCTCACCTCCTCCACAGAGTCCAGGGGCCTCCTGTCCCTCACCTCCTCCATAGAGTCCAGGGGCCTCCTGTCCCTCACCTCCTCCATAGAGTCCAGGGGCCTCCTGTCCCTCACCTCCTCCTTAGAGTCCAGGGGCCTCCTGTCCCTCACCTCCTCCACAGAGTCCAGGGGCCTCCTGTCCCTCACCTCCTCCATAGAGTCCAGGGGCCTCCTGTCCCTCACCTCCTCCATAGAGTCCAGGGGCCTCCTGTCCCTCACCTCCTCCTTAGAGTCCAGGGGCCTCCTGTCCCTCACCTCCTCCACAGAGTCCAGGGGCCTCCTGTCCCTCACCTCCTCCTTAGAGTCCAGGGGCCTCCTGTCCCTCACCTCCTCCACAGAGTCCAGGGGCCTCCTGTCCCTCACCTCCTCCACAGAGTCCAGGGGCCTCCTGTCTCTCACCTCCTCCTTAGAGTCCAGGGGCCTCCTGTCCCTCACCTCCTCCACAGAGTCCAGGGGCCTCCTGTCCCTCACCTCCTCCATAGAGTCCAGGGGCCTCCTGTCCCTCACCTCCTCCATAGAGTCCAGGGAGCAGCCCAGAGCGAAGCTGACCCTCCTGACCTGTTTGTTCAGTCCAATCCAGCTCTGTGCTGCCCATAAAAAGTCCTGTTTAAGTTTATTCTTAATGTGAACACCCAGGTACTTGAAGCTCTCCATCAGCTCAATGTCCTCCTCCTGGACGTTCAGGGGGATGTGGTTGTGCTCACACGGTGAGAGGACAGAGCCCTGAGGGGCCCCAGTGCTGCAGACTACCACCTCAGACTCACAGCTGCGCAGCCGGACGTACTGTCGATGGTCCAGAAGTCATGAAGTCAGTTCAATATTGCATACATATTACATACATATACATAGTATATACATACGTATACACAAAAATAAAATTAATAATATTTCAAAAGTTAATGGGAAAAAATGGGAAGAACTTTTGTTCATTTTATTTTTATTATTTAATCTTAAAGGTTTATAGGAGGATTTTCTACTACCGGGTGGATCATCAAGACTATTTGTCCTCCCAATTATAAATCCTTCTGGTGATATGTGCTCGTCAAACAAGACCAGAGAGTTTTGTTAAAAAAATGGGGAGGGGGGTTCATTCCCATGTATCCTCCCATATAACTTTAAGTAGAGAGATCATTTTTTTCCAATTTCCAAACAATAGGTAATACTCCTTATGTAATCGTGAATTTCTTTTCTTTGTTTTTTAGCTCAATTCTAATTGATTGTTTTTTACAACTATTGCTCATGCAGTCCCTGAGAAAAAAAATGAACAGGCTTCTAGTCCGTCTGTTTGGGTCCTGGCATCCCATTGTTTTGGATGAGTAGATGACACTCATGCACAGAACTCCTGTCAGTGTGTGAAAGAGATCCTGTGTTTAAAGTTCAATGTAAACAGATATTCCACATTAGGTACATGTGATTGGCCTGTTCTTTTTTCAATAAAAATGCATTAATCTGACTTTTTTCAAAACAACTCAAAGCCTGCGCTACAATTATTAGATTATAAAATGTCAAGCATTGAAACTGATGCTGTGAAACATTAATATAAATTACAATGCTCTGGCCATGTAAGAGAAAACGGCTCCATCCAAATTCATAAAACATAACATTTCCTCATTCTTCTTTGTCCTTCCAAATCCTGTTTATTGCCCATGGTGGGATTACATTTGACTTGCGGCAAATGGCCTTCAATAATTCCTTAAAAAGGTATAAAATCTGGAGCTGCCCTGGACAATAAAAAGGAAGCTGGTCTTCAGTATGAATTTGGAGTTAACATCGGTTTGTGTTGTTTTCTTTGATTTTCTTTCAATATTGCTAAACTAAATATATTTTAAAAAATGTCATGTTTTTTTTTTCATCTTTAACAGACTTATACAGTGATGGACAGTGCCAACCCTGCTAGCTTTATGAATTCTAATTGAGAAGTGTTCATGAACAAAGCTTATACTTTCTTTGGCTCCCATTAACTTGCATAGTAAAGTTATTACAACTTACTTTTTGCATTGCACAATTTTGGCATTGAACAGTTGCATTTTTTTTTTTTTTTTTTATAAATCGAGATTATGAGGCCTGATCAATTAGGTGACACCTGTTCCTGAAATTGGCTTTGTTGAGTTGGAACAAAGCAGCGCTGATGATTGGCTCTTCAGATGCAGGTTGTGGCTGATGATTGGCTCTTCAGATGCAGGTCTACCCTGAGATGTGGCTCCAGATTCCCACTCAGCCTGTTTGAGTTAGCTCTAATCGGCTTCTCCTGCAAGAAGTCTTTTCTCTTAAGTTTAGGTTAGGTTTATAATCTAATTCACAATTTACAGTGTATGCGAAACCATGGCACTCAGTCCACTCTTTCTACTTATCGTAAAACAGCCTATAGATATTTTGGTAGTAATTATTTTCATTTCAAACTTGTGTTTCTACAAAACTAAACATACAAACAGCATGGAAAGGTCTTGCGAACATGCGTACACAATACATAATCCTCCACCATCCATCCATTTTACCTTATCATTCTGGTCAGGGGGGGCAGTCAGGATGCACCAAGTCTAGCACAGCCCCACTGACCCTGCAGGGTGAGCCACAGGACGGTGCTCTGATGTGAGCATAGCTGATCTTCAGTGGGCTTGGCAAGTGGGTTAAGTGCTGCCAGGACAAATACCATTAATAATAAAGAAAATGCTATACAAACCTCTAGTTGAATTAATTACATTAAAATATTTCTGTGGGTGTTTTAAGCTTCTAGTTTCCCATCAATCTCTGCACATGAAGTGACTGATTTTTCTTTATTGAATATTGCCTCTCCTAATTATTTTGGCCATGATTGCAATTTATTTTCTAATTAAAAAGTTCCCTAGATAATGGAGATGACATGTCACTGTCAACAAAGAAATAATCCATCTCTCCCATGCAAAACCAATAAGTACAGTGGATTCAAGTACGATAGTCATGTTGGGCCAGACTCATAGGTCTATTGTTGAAATATATCACCGCAGCGGACCTGTCTGTAGTAAGGGAAACAGTCTCACAAACAGTCTTTCTGGGGGTGTGAGAGAACAGCTGTCTGGAAAGCGAGTGATGTCTCTATTGTTGGAGAGTGATGGATGAGTTGGGAGCTTAAAATGCAGCCCTTTGGCGGACTATGGTCTAGGGAAAAATCTCTGTCTGCAACGTCGTGTACCTTCATTATTAGAGCAGTTGATGGGATATTGACGGTTGTAGCACTGGTTCTTCTGAGATGTCCTTCACCTTTTCATTGAGAGGAGACTAGCGATAGAGCCGGGATTTCAGACAATGAGAGGATGTTGACTTGATGTTGTACAGAGACATTTAGGCTGTAGAGAATTGAGGGAAGAGCATTCAAGTGTGATAGCTTACTTATCCCCAGGTAAACGCTTTGTTTGTGCGGACAGAACCCATAGTAAATATGTATAATTGTTTTACATCAGTCAAGTCTTAGTTTGTGGCAAGAAGGGATGTCATTGTTTTCAAAGACATTGTACATTGTGTTACATGTCCTTTTTGAGCTTGTAGGTTTTTTATAGGAATCATGTGGGGAAACGTTATAAGACGTCTCCTGGATCCAAAAGTTCATAGCAAGTCTGCTACTGTGGTGGTGACTAAAATGGTAAGGTTAAGGTATATTCTCTTAATCCCTGTAGAAAGTTTGTCCCCTTGTACCATCCTTCAATGTTCACTATAATGTCATTAGGCCAGGAGTGGTGGTCACAGTGTTTTCTCCATCAACATGCTCAGCTTTGTCAGGACTTCCGGAGCTGGGGGATTTGGTCTATTGTACAGGTTTTTAGTGGAAGGGGAAACCGGAGAACCTGGAGGAAACCGACTGAGGACACCCCACTCGTAAAGACTCTGTTTCGACTTGAATTCTAAATGAGAGGCAAATTATTTGAATCCTTAATGTTTACTGTGCTATACAGAAGTAAATGAAAAATCTTATTGTAAAGCCTGCACAAAATGCACAAAACTGCATGTGCTGAATGAGAAAGGGGGTGTAGTTATAAGATTATGGATTATCCAAACCCTTTTCCAAACTGTAAGACTGTAGTCTGTAATCCTGCAGCACGGTGGCTGAGTGGTTAGCACTCTCGCCTCTCAGCAAGAAGGTCCTGGGTTCGAATCCCGGTTGGACCAGGGCCTTTCTGAGTTGAGTTTGCATGTTCTCCCTGTTTCTGCGTAGGTTTCCTCCGGGTGCTCCGGTTTCCCCTACCACTAAAAATATGTACAATAGGTCTGGCATGTGCCTCCTGTACTGGCCCCACTCCCAAAAATAACAATTGTAAACCGCTTTGAGACTCCGATGTGCAGTGAAAAGGCGGTATATAAATAAAGATTACTATTACTGCCTTGTTTTGTTCAGTAAAATTGTGTTGCACCAGTTTTCAAAAAAGAGAAAAACAAAATTTGGATTGATTTTGACTGATTGAAAAGGCCTCTAATGAGGATTAAGGGTGAACGAAAGCTGCTTCACTCTGCAACTGTTGCTAAATGAAGCTATTGCACCTCTCATGAGTCATATTTACACATTTTTTCACATATAGTTAGTAAATGTGTGTGTGCGTGCACGTGTGTGTGTGTGTGTGTGTGCGTGTGTTATATGTGTTTTTGCAAAAGCTACATTCGCACTTCCACTTCAAATTTGAGCTAAAGTTTGGTTACATTAGAAACAGAAACAGGGTGAACAACACTATATCTCAGCTTTTACACTCTTCTTCTGTGATATCAACAACATGTCATCATCTCTCGCTGGAGGCTTTCAGTCCAATTGTGAGTCCATCTGTTGTCAGACTAAAAAGGTGACAGTAAGGTGAGCCCATGCTGCTGCTCCACCTAAACCAACTCATAAAACAGACATAACCACAGATTACAGTCCATGATGCTATGGGGATTTGGCTCTGTCCAAAGGGAATGATCTGGCACAGTGCACTAGACGCTGAATCCATCATGAGTCCTGATGCTTTCTTTTGTTTATTTAAAGACTGGAGGATTACACGACATAATCAACAGGCTCAAAAAAAACAGCCGTGGAAATAACTTCTCCCTTTTTACATAATGATGACATGGCTGGACCGGACTGGACAGATAGACAATTCTCACAAGCTTAAACATAAAGCTGCAAAATACATGAGAGATTTTCACTACAGTTTAGACAGCATAGAACTGTGCTGCAGGGTCGGCCGAGGTGAACCACGATGAAGCTGTCATGGTTTAGATTTATTCCTGTTTTATTTTGTAGTTTATTATATCCCTGTGTCTTCTTTGGTTGTACTTCCTGTCTGATTACCAGCCCCGCCCTCCTGCCCCGCCCTCCTGCCCCGCGCTCGTGGCCCGCCCTCCTGCCCCGCCCTCCAGCCCCGCCCTCCAGCCCCGCCCTCCTGCCCCGCCCTCCAGCCCCGCCCTCCTGCCCCGCCGTCCAACCCCGCCCTGCTGCCCCGCCCTGCTGCCCCGCCCTCATGTGTCTCACCTGTGTCTCGTTAGTCTTGTATTTAGCCCTGTGTGTTCCTTCACTCCCTGTGGTTTTGGATTTGTTTTATCTTTTTATTAAATCCATTATTTTTTCCAGTTTTGCATTTTGGGCCTCATTTGTTTTTCACCCACGTGACAGTAGCTTTGTTGATTAAATCTCTGTAGGTTCATTCTTACAATGGGCCTTATTTATTAAACTTGCGTACGACAAAATCCGGGTATAAATGAGACGTACGCAAAAAATGTACACTTTTCAGCATTTATCAATCTGGACATTTATCAATCTGGACGTGAGTGTACCGTACGCACAAAATATACAGAAGGTGGTGTAAATGTGTACGCTCATCTCAACCTTCATCACAACACGCGTGAAATGCCAGAGTTGGACAACAATTATCATACTCACACTCTGGCAAAATGATAAACTGCGTTTTCATGGAGCATCATGTTTGTAAAATTGAATTTGCGCATCAGAAAAAGTCTAACACTCTGGAAACACACATAAATCACAGATCATGATGAGGAGCCTCTTCTGTTTCTTCGTTTTTAAATCTGACTTGTGTGTGTATTATTTTGATCTGTATGTTTTCTTAAAAATGTGAAGCGCTTTGTGATCCTGGTCTGTGAAGGCGCTATACAAATACACCTGAGTTACTTACTTGTTTATTTCTCCGTAAATCTGTGGCGGATCCTGCGCTGCGTAACTACGAATGGGTATTTGTTTTGTCTCATTCACTTCTGGCAAAACAACGTATTTCTTAATTAGTTTTGTGCATAAAGCCCATGGATCTATACTAATAACTGGATAGGGTACAGCTGTCCCACCAATGGCCACAGGGGGCGCCTGTGGTACTGCAGACTAAATTCACGTGGGCTACCAAGAAAAAAGTCCCAGAGAACTTAAAGAGCGACTAAACCCAAGGACACAACGACAGCAGTCATCAGTGGGAGTCGTGAAGTAGGTCTTGAGGTGGGCTCGAACCCACGACCTTCAGGCTCAAAGGCCACCGCTCTACCAACTGAGCTACTGTTGATATCACGGACTCATATACCCATCCTTTCTCTCTCACAGAGATCGCTCCATTGCATTCACAAAAGATGTCGCTGAGAGTCACCGCTGAGATATATTAATATTCATTCATTCATTCATTTCTAAAGAGAGGAGTTCTGCAGTGGGTCTAAACACTAGGGAAAAAATGTGTATATATATATATATACATTTTTTTTTTTTGTGGACAAAATAATACAATAAAACTCAACATCAATAACTCAGGCCTTCTGAACCTTCCAAATAGTCTTGCTGGCCGGCTTCCATCCTGAGCTGTCGTAAAAACGGGCCGTGAAACGGGGCGGTTTCTGAATATTTCTAGGCGTGCCTTTCATAAATACGCTGCATGTGCGTATACGCTCAGATCTGTGCGTATCTCACACGTTCATAAATCCTGCGATGAGTCTGGCGTGAATGGAATATACTCCAAAAGTATACACTCTTTTCTGCGCAAGTTTCATTCCTGAGGGCCAATGAAAGCAGTTACACAGTCCCCGGTCCAACACCATTATGTGGTTTGAAAAGTGCAAAACAGTTTGTCAAAAATCCATAAAATCATTATATCTACATTAATGCTGTGAAATAAAGAACAATTATACTAAATGTAAAAACAATTATATGCATAGCTTTATCATGAGTCTTGTAAAAATAATCACATTTTTAGAACAAAACAGACTACAGCGTACTGTCTCGGCATGGAGGCCTCCAGATCTGGTCCTCCTGGTCTTGTGAAGGTGTGTCAGTGGAGTTGGCAGCATTTCTATGAAATCTGTGAACCGTTTTTGCTAGCATTGATGTCTATGGGATCATTTCCTGGGTAACCCTGGTGAGTTTAGTCTAAAGTAGCACAGGTGGTGGTCCAGCACCATTCTAAGGCCCGGCTTAAGCTAGCTGCTTATTCATCACTTTCTCATCTTCATTTATTTATTTAGGCGTGGTGGTTGTTTTATTTTTAAAACAAACCAAAAATATCCCCATTCTCTGACCGGATGATCTGACTGCATCAGTTACCTGGGGGGGGCACATACAATATAGAAGATTGAGATGAAATTTCCTTTAATGATTCCTCTCTTTTTTGCAAATGAATTTCCCCAGGCATTGTGCTTTAGAAAGTCTCCTTGTCTGCAATTAAAAACATAATTATGCAATGTTGGTTGTATATATATATATATAGTAAACAAGTATCGTTTCAGTCACAGCTGCAGGAGGAAGCAACATAAATATTGTTAAACAGTCAAGTATATAATTATATAAGGATGAAGTAAAAGTTTTGGGTAAAAGTAACTTGCGGTAGCCTGTGCACCTGCCTCGGGGTCGTACCGGGAGCATGAGTGCGACTGAAGCATGAGCTGATGATGCAAAGCTCTGGCTGTCACTGCGGCATCAGTCATGGAGAGATGGAGTCGCCAGAGGTGTTCTTTATAGATGGCAAAAGCGTGTAATCCGGCACATTATCAGCATGGAATAGCCTTAGACACATTTGAGTCTTATAAAGGGTCAGCAGGCAAGTTTAGTTCAATCAGAGAAGGACGTTTGAAAGAATGTGGTAAATAGGGTTTAAAGCTGGGTTACCTAAGTAAGTTTTTATTTATATACCGCCTTTTCACTGCAGATCTAAGTCTCAAAGCGGTTTACAATTGTTAATTTTTGGGCATTTATCTCTCACTCCACACAGAGATGGGAGCGGGGCCAGTACAGGAGGCACATGCTAGAACTATTGGACATATTTTTAGTGGTAGGGGAAACCGGAGTACCCGGAGGAAACCTACGCAGACACGGGGAGAACATCCAAACTCCACTCAGAAAGGCCCTGGTCCGACCGGGATTCGAACCCAGGACCTTCTTGCTGAGAGGCGAGAGTGCTAACCACTCAGCCACCGTGCCGCCCATAATTTTAAACCATGTAATAAAATCCATGTCACTAAGTTCTTCTAAAACAGTTTTTACATTTATGCAATTTAAGCCTGTCTCATTTTTCAATCAGCTTTTTCAGGCAGAAAAAGGAAAAAGAGTGAGGGTCAATCAGCTGTCAACTAAATGCAAAGTGAAATTGTGACTCACAGGACTCTTCCTTACAATTGTGTTATTATGTAATTTTATATTATTTTAAAATTGAATAAGATGAAAGCAACATGTTGTGGTCTGATTTGTTCATTTTCTTGTCAAACACCATGCCTTTTTTTCCTTTGTCGGACCTATTCAACATTCATTCATTTTGTTTAGAAAGAAACAGAAAAGACTATCCAAAATGGTAATTTTAACCAGACAAATCAAGGACACAAATCTCTTCACTCTGGTTTTCAGAAATTGTTGGTTTTGGTTTCACTATACCAGAGGTGTGAAACTGTGCCAGTGTTTGCTGCAGGTTTTCATTCCAACCAAGCAGTAGCACACCAGGCTCCACCCATTTCTTCAAGTCTTGAGGTTTGGACTGGACTCGAGGAAATGGATGGGGTCTTAGTGCACCTACTCAGTTGGAATGAAAACCTGTAGCCACATCAGTCCCTTGAGCCCTGCTTTGACACCCCTGCAGGTGGGTAATGACTGCATTAGACGAGACAATTAGAACATTGTTGATACGTTTCAGGTCAGATTTTGTGGATCTGGCAAAAATGTTAATCCACTTTTCTGCATATGGTATGAAAGAGTCTCTGCTGTCATCAATAAATCCTGGCCTCTTCTTCGCCCTCGCCTGGTCTTTGACAAATTTACAACACTTTATAAAACTTTGAAAGATAATTCCTAACAATATAGCTGATTATCAAAATGGAGATATAATTAGTAGCTATGGAAAATTTCAACGGTCTTGTTTTGTCCTCTGACATGACTAATGTTCTGATTTAGGGCTATACAAGAATAAATGTAATTCAAAATGTGTGTAAAAATCATTCAAAGAGTGCTGATTAAACCATCACTCACTTATGCCAGTAACAAATCTGTATCTTAGTATCTGTATGGTGACATGAATGATTCTTCTGTGAACTTGAACTAAAGAATCAATTGATCCATTGGTTAAAGCCCCCACCCACTGCCATCATTACACCTACACAGCAACAGTCAATTCTGGTATTGATTTGTTTAGTTCAAGGTTTGAATCGATAACTATCCGTTAAAACTAATATCGACCCAGGCTTGAAATGAACTGTAATATATTGTATTGAAGAGCACTTGAAGCAACTGTTATTAAAAATGTGTTGTAATGTGTCACACCATGTGACAGGCTTCTTCATTAATAATATACTGGGAGTGTGAAATGCAATAAAAATTATCTGCTCTCTCTAAAAATGCTCTATGTGAAAGCAACTTGATCTGTTATGACATAAAGAAGGCATTTTTGCTTTCACTAATGTAGCAAGGATTTAAGAAGAAAAAAGTTCAGGATGGCAAGGGACACTAAAATATCCACAATATCCAATCTTTATGAAAGCTGTAGGTTCTCTGTCAGGTTCTCTGTCAGCTGAGGTCGTGCTGTTTTAATTTACATTGAGATCTATGGGAATTTTTTCTGGGTTGCCCTCGTGAATTTAGTCTGCAGCACCACAGCGCCCCCTGTGGCCATGGGTGGGACAGCTGTAAGCCAGTAATACCCTATCCAGTTATTATTATAGATCCATGAGGCTACGGCAAAGTGTGGAGCAGGGGCGCAAAGGGGGCGGGGCCAAAGACCTCCCTGGAGAATTGGGACCCCCTACGCACTCGCACCCATCATCGGGAACGTGCAAATGAGGGGCGCGAGGGTGGAAGTGCGAGTATTGGGATTGGGCCATAGACACAAGTGAAACACATCAGGGCAGGGCAGACAATCAACACAGGGGAACAAGACAGGAAGTCCAACTAAAACCAAACCACAGAGAAGGCTAATGTCAAAATAAAATACAAAACCCACACCATGACAATGAAAGGAGGACAGGCCGACTGCTGGCCACAATCTTTCAGAACCACCCTGGCAAACATGAAATTTGTG